GGAAACAGTATGACATTTCCTCAGAAAACTAAAAATGGAATTGCCTTTTGACCCAGTGATTCCACTGCTGGGAATATACCCTAAGAATCCCAAAACACTAATTCAAAAGAACTTATGCACCCCTATGTCCATAGCAGCGCTACTGACAATAAGCAAGTGCGGGAAACAGCTAAAGTCCCCATCAATAAATGAGTGGATCAAAAAAACTGATACCTCTATATAATGGAATACTATGCAGCAGAAACAAAGAAGGAACTTTTACCCTTTGCAACAGCATGGCTGAAACTGGAGAATATTATGCCAAGCTAAATAAGCCGGTTGGTAAAAGACAAATACCATATGATCTCACCTATAAGAGGAATCTAATAAAATAAACCAGTGAGTAAAATAGAACCACAGGCAGGTAACCGTGGAACCAACTGATGGTGACCAGAGGAGAGGGCTCTCAGGGAAAGATGGGGAAGGGGCTAGTCAGGAACATGTGTGAATGACCTGTGGACATGGACAACTCCATGGGCATTGACTGTGGGAGCGAGGGGTAGGGAAGTAGGGGAGGGCTGGGCAGAGGAGGGCAAAGGGGGAATAATTGGGACAACTCTAATAGAATGACAATAAAAGGATAAGATAAAACAAAGTGGCAGTAGTACGTCTTTTGCACTCTGTCTCCTCATACTTGACACCTAGTTGCCTGTTGCCACAGATTTTACTGTCTGTCCACCTATATCTATTCCAACTCGACACACACACATGACTTGCATTTCATTAATTATATGATATTTTTTATTTTATATAGTAAATTCTAAGCAGGCACTTTTGATTGACATTAGATTTTTACCACCTTCTTGCTAAATGAAGAATTTTTATCAAATAATAAGTTTGGGGGTTTAGGAGTTTTAATTTTCTCAGTTTTCTCACTTTTCTCACTTTATCTGAACAGTTTAAAATGTAGACATCACAGTAAGAATAGATTTAGAATGAGCCAACACTTGATTTCTGCTCATTCATTTAAGGTAATGGGGTAACATACTTCACATTTTAGGAGTATACTAGAGTAAATGGATTTTCTGCTGCTTCTACTTAAAAATCAATTCTGTGCTTCTCAAAAGCAGCATTTGATTTCTTAGAAACGTTTTGTACTATTGTCATTATTGTAATGAGGGGTTAACTAACTTGAAAAGAAAGATAATAGTCCTCAAATTTCTTTTCTACCCCATGGATTATGATTGAGACATTGAGATAGGGGAATAAAACTTCATTAAAATTGCTATTTAGACTTTGTCATAGCTAATCTTATTAGACCATATTTTATCATTATCTTTTATATTGTTTCAATATCTCTATCACAAGCAAGGCATAAATTGATGGCTTCTGTAAGGTTCCAGAATAAATAATTTTGTATCGCTGAAGTCTTATTTTTAAGTGCTGAAGTTCTTTAAAAGTACCCTAATAGAATGTGATACATGGGAATCAAATTTTAACGATCTCAATGGGGAAGAAATACTTTTAAGGTGTAAGATGTAACTGAAATGCAGATCTCTGTGGGTTTCTAAATTTAGATCACTGCATATGACAGATGCTTTGGAATTCAATTTACATTAGAATCAAATAGTTCAAAATGCAGCTGCTTCTGGCAAGTTCAGACCTGGAACGCTGAGCCATCCACTATCAACTGACTTCAGAAAATTTCAGCAGAAATAGTATGAGTCTGTAAATCACAATCTAACTAAAATAATTTACATTCCACATCCATCAAAGCTTTTTAAATCCAAAGGTGTTTAAAAGTTGATGGTAAGACCTAGTCCACTTCAAGTGAGAGTATGTGTTGAGGGGGAGGAATTGATGACAGTCTTTGATAATCTCTGTAGAGTATGAATGTCCTGACTTCTTCTAATACTATAATTTGGTACTGAGAAAACCAGTTGATACCTTGCTCTTAGCTCCCTGTTTTGTGGAAGAATCTGTGGAAAATAAGTATCTTTGCCCACACACAAAAAAAATCAACCTAGAAAATCTAAATATATGAAGACTATTTAAATATAAATATAAATGTGAACATATTATCAACGACTACTATAGGCTGGGATGTTTATGCAGAGCTTTCAAGCGCAGAAAAGTGCTTTAGCCATGTGGTCATTGACATCTTTTCTAACACTGAATGCCTTTCATTCAAGAAAATCACGTTTCCTGTTTCATTTTCTTGCATGTCTTGTTCTTCCATTCTAAGATTTTATCTTATTCTTTTACTCAATAAAAGTACATGTTGAGTAAACTTTTTTAAAAGTATAAATAAATAAAACACTTTGTAATTGAGGAAGTTACTGACAAAATTTCACGGAACTGCAAACTCACTTTTGTCTAGGTAGTTAGGGAACATAAACTAAAGGAAATCAGCATTGTATTATTCCAGAAACAGCTGCGTGTGCTTCTCAGTTTCTTACTTTGGGTGCTTCCTGAGTCGTTCAGGAAGAGAGTATGGAAAAGGTTACTATTTGGAGTAACATAGGGGTCACTGAATTCCATTTTGGATGTGTTGTATTTTTTTGTCTGTGAATTGTGTTCAACGGTAGATGTTTAGAAGGGGATAAGGAAGCTGTGGAGCACATTGCATGGGACATGGCTTTAGCCTTGAGAGCATACAAGATCATGCCACTTACTTGCTAAAGTTAAGAGCATTAGCCCTGACAGGTACTGCTCGGTTGGGCAGAGTCCCCCAAAGTGAAAGATGTCCAGTTTGATTCCTGGTAAGGGTACACGCCTGGGTTGCAGGTTCCGTCCTGTACACAAGAGGCAACCAATCAATGTTTCTCTCTCGCATCGATGTTTCTCTTCCTCTCTTTCTCCCTTCCTTTCCCTCTAAAAATAAATAAATGTATTTTTTTAATTAAGGAAAGAACATTAGAGAGCTAAGCATAGAATGAATATCATTTGCAGTTAAGGGATGGATATATCAAGAGATGGTTAGTGTCTGAAGGAACAATCAGGAAGGTTGCAAGAAAGCATGAAAGGAGAAAGTTTTAGGAAAATTAGTGCTTAACAGTATAAAACGATGCATGAGGTCAAGAAAGGCACCTGGGCATTTATTTGTATTGTGGTAATGGTGGTGATCATGATAATTATAACCATTATTTAGAAGTGTCTCAGTGTAAAAGACAGAATTCTGTGTTAGTTATTAAGAGACCTGAACTGTGATTCTAGAACAGTTGCTTTCTGACCTTGTAGCATAACCTTTGTGAGCCACAATTTTCTCATTTATTAAATGAGATTATATTATCTGTACTCTCTACTTCAGAAAGTTGCAGATCACATGAACATTCTGTTGCGGAATATGAACATTCTGAAGAATCTAAAATATATACTAGTTTTTTATAATGTTTACTTTTTTCTTGATCTCCCAGTTATATTAAAAATGTCTTCAAGTCTCTTAATTGGAAAACATGTTATTTTTATTTAAATTGAAATTATTTAACTATAAAAGATCATTTAAAATATTTTTCTAGGAAATGAATATTAATAAATTGTGCCAGAAGACAATTTTAGCAGTATATTATTCAGAAATTATTTTAAAGCCACAAACTGCCTTAAAAAAACACCTATTTTAGTACAACAGTGTGATTAAAAGAATATTTTTTTATGGCCAGAGCTGTGTGTCGTGAAAACTATTGGCATTTTTTAATTACCTTTGTTTGCTTATGGATAGGATTTGTGATGTGGTTAATCCTGGGGTTTTTTGCTCTAGGTAGTCATTCCAGGCTCATATTCATGTTGCAAGGAACTATTTCTGTTTTTTAAAAAAGTTGTTTCTTATGCTAATTATAATTGTAAATATCTTCCCACTATTTTCTGTATAAGTAAGGTTTTTCCCAAACCAAGGGATTATTGGGTTGAAGGCTAAGAATTCTTTCTAAAATCATTTGTTATTCTGTAAGTTTCAGAAACTATGCATAAATATTTTAAAATTGCACCAACATAACACCAAAAGATCACTGAAGGTCTCCGTCCTGCTCTAGTGCCCCACTGCATCCTCAGCGGCTGCCAGCTAATACGAGGAGCACCGCAGTCTGCAGGTCCAGGTGTCACTCCGCTGGTTTCACAGGAAAAGCAGAAGCCGATGCTGGAATGGCCGTGTCAGGGCTGTTTGGCCTTGGTGCTCTTCCCACTGCCCTTCAGTTCTCGGGCAGGCAGCTGACTCTTGTCTGCATTTCAAGGAGAGAGCTTTAGGCTGGAGGATATATTGATAAACTGATGCAAATAAAAATTTGCTGTTCTTGCCAAAAAGTATTTTCTTAATAGAATTAGTTGAAATGATTGCTGTGTGTGACAGTGACAGTATTGCACATGACGTGTAACTGATGTTAAATGCTCTGCCTTAGCTTTTTAGCCTTTTGACCCTTACCTGTTCCACACTGGCAGGAGCTCCTCTGAGACCTTAAAAATTCCTGGACTCCTGTGTCAGAATTCCAGTAGAGGGTTTCCTATTTACCCACTTATTGCATTGCTTATACAAGTGCTGTTTAAAATAAATATAATGCAAGCTGATTGTATTACCTTCAGTTGCCTAGTAGCCACACCATATATATATATAAAATTAATTTACCATATATATATTTAAACTCACCTTTCCAAAATATATCATTTCAGCATGGAGTCAACATTGCAAAATTGTGAAATTTTTACTTTTTTACACTATTTTCAAAATCTAATATATATTTTATAGTCATGGCATATCTCAATTTGTACTAATCATATTTTTTAAAAAATGCTAATGGGACAGTGTAGGCAGGCCTAAAGATTATAGATAAAAATAGACCCAGTAAGTGGGTCTTTGACTTGTCCAACATGCCCCTGACATATGGTATTCCCAGAAGTTAACCATAAACTTCTTGATGGTAGGAAAAAAATTGTTATTTTATAATATCAAAACTGAAAATGTAGAAATGTTGTATATTCTATTCCAAATAAATGAAAATGTACCTAACTTACAAAAGCAATGTACTTTGCAGAGACAATGGCCCTGGGGATTATCAAAGAGGGAACCCTGAAAATCAAAGAAGAACCATCTAAAATACTGTCTGGAAATAAATTTCAGGATCGGTATTGTGTTTTACGAGATGGATATCTCTTTCTTTACAAGGATCAGAAGGTATTTGTATATGTAGTATTCAATTTTTTGTGTGGTTATTAACATTTGTAATTTTATTATTTTTCTTAGCCCTCTCTCAGAAGTCAAGGCCTGTAGTAAATAAAATAAAAAGTATATTAAGTTGATGATTTCTTTCAGCCTCTGGGATATGATATTAATGCACTCCCCGTAACACAGTAGAGAACTCCATATATGTCCTTTCTGAGCACCTCACATTTTTTAGGGTAGAGAATGACTTAAGTCCTAAAGAGACGTCTAATGTATGTTACATGAACTAGCATATAAATCAGCATCTCAGTCGATAAAATTGACTAAGAGTATGTCATGCCCTAAGGCAAAAGTGGCTTGAGTTTAGCTAATGGAAATTAATAAATGCAAGTTAAAACTCTGAGATACTATTTTGCTCTTTAAGTTGACTAAAACTAACAAATGACTAAAGTTGTAAGAGTAAAACCACCTAATGTTGACAAGGATGATGATTAACTAAAATTTTCATAAATTGCTGATTGAATGGTAAAATCACAGTCACTGTGTAGAAATGTTTGGCAGTTTAATTTAGGTAAGTTTATTAGTACATCTACCTCATGGCCCAGCAACTCTGTTCCTATGTATTGTGGCCACAAAAGTACTTGTTCAAGAATGTTCATAAGTAGCTTTATTCATAAAAGCTGCAACCTAGAAACATTCCAAGTGACCATCGATATGAGAATGATAAATTCATACTGTAGAATCGTTCTGAGAAGCAAAATAAGTGAATACTAATGTATATAGCAACATGGATGGCTCTTCAAATCCCTGTTGAGTAAAAGAAGCTCGACACAAAATAGTATCATATAAGTGTGTCCTTAAGAAATCTAAGATTAGGCAAAACCATTCATGGTGATGGAAATTTGCCTGGGGTGTGGAGAGTGTTTGTTATGGAATTGTGAAGTGGTGGAGTCAGCAGGGTACTTCCTAGAATGAAAGAAGTAAATGTTCTCTGTCCAGTTTTGAGTGGTGGGCACATGGGTGTATGCAGTGTCACGTCTACTTTCTTGAGATTCTAGAAATACCTTTCCAGTTACTTCAAATGCTGAATGACAGCAAGACCTAGAGACACATTTTGATATCGATTTTTAAAAGTCACTTGGTCAACTTGAGCATTGCTTGCTTGCATACTTTAAGTGTGTCGCGCTTCACTATGTTGTGTTCTGGTGATGTACAAAGAAAGACCAGACTATTAACATCTGCTAATATGTTATGAGAGTCATTAGGCAGCTTTCCAAAGCTCAGTGGCCCCATTTTTCAGGAGCATCTGCTGAGCTCTCCACACACTGGGACCACTTTCCCTGTGTGTTTCTCAACAGCGAAGCCTCCTTGGATGGCCATAAAAATATCTTAGTAGTTTTCCTACTTGTGTTTACATCTCCTATTCACTTCCTTCAAGGACAGTGGACTGTGCAGCCAGGAGGCTAGTATGACAGCCCCACATTCTGCTGCCCTCACCCCTCTACCCAGAGGGGTGCTTGCACTCCCGCTTTGCCCTTCCATCTGATGGAACCAGCAGGGAGTCTTGGCGGGTACCACATTCTTGTTTTTTAGCCTTCTTCATTTTTTCCAGTAGAGGAAGAATGTTTAATTACATACTATTTTGTTTTCCTTACAGAGTAGCAAACCTGACAAAATGTTTTCACTCAGTTCCCTGAAGTTTTATCTTGGAGTGAAAAAGAAAATGAAACCTCCAACAAGGTAAAGCTTGAAAGGGAAGGGTAGTTGAAAAAGTTATGGGAAAATATGTCTATTCAACGAATTAGGGATCGGTGGCATTAGCCTAACTTTTTATAAACTAAGCTTTAGACAAGTCTCTTAACTTGCCAGATCCAGAGAACCTGTGTGGGTAGAGAGGGAGGGAAGATGTCCCCGCTAGCGGCAAGCTCCTGGGTGACTACATGTCTCCTTTGTACACCAGGGAATCCCCAGAAGGCCCTGTTTGTTGGGGAACATGTGTATTTCTCCCCAGCCTATTCCTGGCTCAGTCACAGCCTGGGGACAGAGCGTTCCAAGCAAGCCTGCCCACAGGGAGACAGATGACTGCCCCCGCCCCCCTGCCGGGGCCTGGCTTTTACAATGCTTTGTTCCTTCCGGCTCTGGAACTTACTCATTTGCACTGCTGAATTTGTTAGTAAATTCACAGCACATAGATGGCAGAGAGGAGGTGGACCCCACTTAAACATCGTGTTCCTCTTTAACACTTGAATCAACCCAGTGTTTGGTTTGCCCTGTACTTTATCATAAATTACTTTGATTAGCTAATTAATGTTTGTACTTAGACTCATGAAACTTCATTTAATGAACTGTATATGATTTGAGATTGTGAAAATGTTCTGATTTGAGGCACCATGCTTAATTTATAAGCCCGATACATTCACATAACCTGCGTTGCGGTTGGCACATTTCTTTAGTTTCTCACACTGTCCACAGGTCAGATGTATAGTATCTTATTTGGGCCATTTTCCTGGACATCTGGTTTTACTCAGCCAAGACTGTCTTCTGAGAGACTTTCCCCACTGCCCCATGACATCACAAGGCTCCTTCCCTCTGTCTCCCTTCAGCGTATTTACATTTGCAGCCAAATTCCTCAGTATTTACCATTTCCCTCTTTGATAAATCATACCCATTGAATCATCACTTGTGGGTGTCAATTCCGTTATGCATTTCTCCCATTGGCAGGAACTTCTCTGAGACCTTAAAAATTCCTGGATTCCTGTGTCAGAATTCCAGTAGAGGTTTTCCTATTTACCCACTTATTGCATTGCTTATACAGTGCTGTTTAAAATAAATATAATGCAAGCTGATTGTATTACCTTCAGTTGCCTAGTATCCACACCATATATATATATATATGTAAAATTAATTTACCATATATATATTTAAATTCACCTTTCCAAAATATATCATTTCAACATGGAGTCAACATTGCAAAATTGTGAAATTTTTACTTTTTTATACTATTTTCAAAATCTAATATGTATTTTATAGTCATGGCATATCTCAATTTGTACTAATCATATTTTTTAAAAAATGCTAATGGGACAGTGTCTTAGCATCTGATCCTGTTGTCAGGCTTGTAAATGTATCATTTTTAATATGTCGCTGTTTGTTTTTCCCTTTGCTCTGCAGTTGGGGATTGACAGCACATTCTGAAAAACATCACTGGTAAGTTAACAGCTGGCAGTTTTGGGATTTGATACATTCCTGGTAACTTCAGTAAGTGAATAATGCTGTGATTTGGCAGATGGATCTATAGACAGGAAATGTTTCTCTAACAGCAGAACAACCAAAATGAAGTTAAAATCTTTACTAAATACTAAGAGTCTTTAGTAAATACCTTAGGAAGAGGAAAATGTATTTGCTTTCAGGGTTTAGGTCCATTTCAATCCCATGTATCCTAATTGCTAATACCTCATAAAAGAAACTGTGTCTGATTTCTTCCTAGTTATTATGGGTGTGGAATCCTGGCTCTTATGGGGTCAGCAGGCAAAATGCAGTGTTAAATAAAGGATAAGAGAACCAGCCAAAACTCCATTAAAAAAATCTTGGTCTCACACCTATTCTTCGCATATGTGCACTTTACGCCACTGCTGTCCCCGGATCTGGCGCCTTCTCTCTTGCCTGCCCCGTCCAGCCAGTCACCACCACGTCCGATGTGCCTCTTCATGAGCTCTCAGACCCACCCACACTCTGCGTCCTCAGGGCCATGTGTCCGTTCATCTGCCCAGTGTTTTGGGGGTCTCCCCTCAATACAAGAAGACTGACTCAGTGTTATTAGACAGGCAGTTTTTTTAGTTTGTCCTGAGTCTTGCTGGTATTAATGTTTATAATCATAATGATGGAGACCATCTAGGCTTTTTAAAAGAATCTGCTGTTAAGAACATATGCACATATTTTTCTTCTTAGGCTGGGAGTTTCCAGGGAAAAGACAGTTTACCATCAAGCACCCGAAAGAGTAAATGGCACTGACCTTTCTGCCTTTCCAAAAATATCGCCGATCATTGTTTAGCAGTTACCAAAACCTTAGCTATATTTTGTTTAAAATTGCATATGTACACTGATATTTTGATAGTGTATACTTAACAGAAGCCTGCAGCAGCTTGTACTGAAATACTCCCATTTTGATTGCATTGCATCATTAATCGGAGAAACACGAAAGCATTTCTGATCACTTAATCACCCAATGCACGAGAGAATAGTCTTCTTGATTTACTGTTTATAAATGTTGCTTTGCAGGCACCTGTGCTGCGATAGTTCACAGACTCAGATGGAGTGGATGGCCAGTGTCTTCATCGCCCAGGTAAGAGATCTGCTTCCTGTTGTCCAGGAAAGTGTAATAAGGGTGTATATGGAATGGTGGAGATTTTCGGGTAACGTTTTATGATTTTGATGCATATACTTTTATTCATTTACATATTTTTAAGTAGATGAGCATCCAGACCTATCCATTACTCTCTGAAAGAGAGTCACTGTCTTTGCCGAGGCTCGTGGGCCCCCGGCAGCTCCGTAGCCTCGGAGAGTCGGGCTGAATCCAGACGACCGCATGAGAAGGGTGGTGCTGGGCTTGTCAGAGTTGCCATCCTGTCGGAGACCCCGCGGGCCTTCATTTAGAAAAAATGGGTTATTTTCCTTTGTATTTTCCCTGTGACCACCTCCTATCCGCACCCTGCCAGTCCACAGATAAGGACCCAAACCTACATTTCTTTAATACTCATTATTTGCTAGAAGCTTCAAAAAGAGTTAACTCATATATTCCTTGCAACAAAGTATGCCTGACATTGCTTATAGGTGAGAGAATAAAGATTAACAAAGTTCCCATTATTTGCTTAGGACCACACATTTAGTTCTTGGTTTAAACCCAGAGGTGCAAGAGGCCAACACATATACTAAATTCCTCATTTAGGGTCCTTCGTTGGAGGGGGGCTCACTTTTTTGTAGGGGGGGAAGGTTTCAGTAGTCCCATTAGAAGAATTGTTGTTTTTTTTTTTCCCCCAACCCTGTCTGGCTGAATTCCCGGCAGTGCCTCCCACAAGAGCATTGAACTTCACTGGCAACGATTAAGTTGCCATTCTCTATTACTGAGGATGTACTTCCCTGTTTCTCTTACAAGAGAAGTTAATTCACCCACCACTCCCCTCCCCCAATCTGGTCATTTGTTTTGAAAACCATTTTCTCTGTTCATTTAATTTATTATCCTCTCCAGTGGTTAATAAACAGTGTTCTTCTCAGCCTGACACTACTATTACTACCTGGGAATACACTTGCAGAAAAAGACTGCAACTTTTTAGAGACAGTTCTTTTTTCATGACCGTTTAATAAATAATTCAGATACTCAAGTCCTACTTTAAGAAAGTAGATTTCAAGTATTTTTCTAAAATTGGAACTACAGAGGGGAAGACTAGTACATTGTCTCTTTTTGATGCAACTAAATTGATTTTTTTTTTTTTAAATAATTGAAGTCAGTCAACTCTGTAGTTTAAAATCAAAGTATAAATATCCAGGAAGCAGAGGGTGCTCTCAGGACCAAGTTGCTTCTCCCTGCCTCATCTGTCCTTGGTTGTCCTGGCCCAGCTACCTTCTTCCCTGCTCATTCTACCATTTAGGGTTAATACAAACACAAAGGTGCTTTCGGATTTAAGGATTTAATGGTTCACCTCCACAGGGAAACAGACAAGTGTTAATATAATGTTAACACACACACACACACAAGTCAATAGTAAGTCTCCTTACAATGGGTCTTCCTGGTGCCCAGAGTACTTCTCTAATACCCATCCCCGTTCTCCCCGCTGCCTCGAGAGTCTTCCAGATTGCAGCTGACGTGACACATTGTCAGAAAAACGTTCTCATTTTCCAGTTAGACCTTCCTATAGGAACATTTAACACCCTGTATTTCAATACTATGGCACTAAGTAAAAAGCATTTGTGTATTTAGATATTTCATTTCTGTCTTTCCTACTAAAACATAAATTCCATGAGAGTGCGGACTCTGTCATTTTATTTTATTTTTTATTTCATTTTTCTTTTATTTTTCAATTACAGTTGACATTCAGTGTTGTTTTGCTTTAGTGTCAGGTGTGCAGCATAGTGATCAGACAATCACATACTTTACAAGCGCTCCCCCGATCTTTCCAGTGCCCACCTGGCGCCCTATGTAGGTGTTACGCTATTATTGACTCTGTTCTCTATGCTGTAGTTTGCATCCTCGTGACTATTTCATAACTATCAATTTTTACTTTTTTAATCCCTTCACCTTTTTCACTCAGTCTGCCAACCCCCTTCCCCTTGGGAGCCACTTGTTTGTGTTCTGTATCTAAAAGTCTGTTTCAATTTCATTTGTTAGTTTATTCCATTCATTAGATCTCACATGGAGATGAACGTGTCTTTCTCTGTCTAACTTACTTCACTTAGCATGATGTCCTCTAGGTCAATCCATGCTGTCTCAAGGGGTAAGGTTTCATTTTTTTGTGACTAACATCCCATTGTATTTGTGCACCACCCCTTTTTTATCCACTTATCTCTCGATGGGCACTTAGGCTGCTTCCATATCTTGGCCATTGTAAATAATGCTGCAATGAACATAGGGGTGCGGATATTTTTTTGAAATAGTGTTTTGGGTTTCTTTGGATATTCGTCTGGAAGTGGAATCTCTGGGTCATAAGGCAGTTCCATTTTTTAATTTTTTGAGGAACCTCCATACACTTTTCCATAATGGCTACACCAATCTGCATTCCCACCAATAGTGCACGAGGGTTTCCTTTTCTCCACATTCTCACTGACACTTGTTCGTTGATTTATTGATGATAGCCACTCTCACGGGTGTAAGGTGATATCTCATTGTGCTTTTAATTTGCATTTGCATTTCTCTGACAGTTAGTAACACTGAGCATCTTTTCATATGTCTGTTGGCAGTCTGTTTTCTCTTTGGGGAAGGACTCTTATTAGACCTGTATTTATATCTGCATCACAGAACCCAGTGCCTTTTACAAAGCACATGTTCTGTTAGTATTTGTAAAATAGAGAAAAAAAGAAAATAATCTGATCAAATTTCAAATAGATATTAGAATGACAAAATAAAATAAGTGGGGAAGGTAAAACGGATGTGACTGAGGTAAGAAAGGGCATTAACTGAGAAAAGGTTCTCAGGGAATACTTCTCTGAGGAGCTGAACGGCAGGTGTGTCGGAAGTGAGGGAGTGAGTTGTGCAGGTATGTAGTAGCATAGCAATCTCTCTTATTTTCCTCCTGCGTCCGTTGGTACTCACCCACAGAGTAGACAGAATTAGGTTTAACTAAGTTTAGGGCTTTGCCAGGCAAGTATGATGGAGGGAGAAAGGGCACAGGACTTGAAGATATTGACAAGGAGGTGAATATGGTGATTGACCATGAAATCTAGGCCAGGCTGTGAAGGAAATGGGAAGAAGTGTGCAAAATAGAATGGATTGAGGGTCTCAAGGAGCCTAAGAATACTTAGAGTGAATGAAACTAAATTAAGTTACCTGGAAAGATAAGAGGTCAAGATCAGAAAGTAAGAGGCAGACCCCATGTTCACTGAAGCATTATTCCTCCTGGCCAAGGTGTGGAAACAACCAAAGTGTCTGTTGATTGATGAGCGAATGGATCAAGAAAATGTGGCATATATACAATGGAACATTATTCAGCCTTTTAAAATAGGAAAATCCTGTCTTTTTCAACATGGATGAACCAGGAGGGCGTTATACCTAGTGAAATCAGCCAGACTAAGAAAGACAAATACTGCATGATATCACTTATATATGGAAACTTAAAGAAAAAAAAAGTCAAACTCATAAAAATAGAGTGGAAGATGTTGCTTTTGGTGGGGGGCGGTGGCGGGGGGAATGGAGAGGTTGGTAAAAGGGTATAAAACTTTCTTCAGTTATAAGAAGGGTAAGGTTTGAGGGTCTTATGTATAACATGGTGACTATCTTTGATAATACTATATTGTATAATTTAACTTTGCTAAGAGGGCAGAACCTAAATCTCCTCACACACAAAAAAAGGTAAATATGTTAGGTGATGAATGTATCTAAGGAGAGAATCCTTTCACATATCAAATCATTACATTGTATACTTAAGTATCTTACAATATTATTTGTCAGTTACACCTCTGTAAAGCTGTAGGGAAAGAAAATAAATAGAAGATGGGAGGCAGAAATGAAGATTTGGGGTGTGATTATTGGTTATAATAATGAAAGTATGGTCCTCAGCGGTATGACTCATGCAGTACAAATTTTGCAGTCACTTATACATAACTATAGATGTCTTTTTTTTTAAATTTATTTTTTGAAATACATTTGTCTCTGCCTACCCCCTACCACTTTCCCTTGCCCCCTCCTTCCTTCCCTCCCTCAGCTCTTCCCCTTTGGTTTTGTCCATGAGTCCTTGCTATGTGTTCCTTGACTTTCCCCTCCCCTTCCTTTTCCCCCGCCCCCCTCCCTCCATCTATAACTATAGATGTCAAAACATATTACTTAGATCTAATGATTTCTGTTATTGAGAAAAATACCTCTTGAATCAATTCAGTGAGCCTAATTAGCCAGTATTCACAGCATTGTTTATGTCAGGAAAAGAAATAGTTATTGAAAATTGCATTTGCTCCCAGGTTCCTCAAAATATCATTTAATACATGTACTATATGTCAGTGACTAAAAATGTAAATATAATTCATGGGTTTATCTGTTTCCTTCCCAGCCAGTTTTCTCCCAGCTTTACATGTTGAGAATACCCAAATTATGTAATATCAAATTGTTTGATCAAGTCTGGGACCATGACATAAAAATATTATGAAGCTTGTCACTTTTCCTCTGATTGAAATTTTGCATAATCTACTACGGTAGATTTGTTGAACCAAACTTAATGCTTTCCTAAAATTCAAGAGCAGACATTATGCATACATACTAAGGCTGGTAATAAGTAGGACCTACAGTGTAGGATTAGTGAGGATTGAAGGAGATAATGTAGGTATATTGACAAGCACAAAATCTAGCTATTTACAATGGGTGCACAGTCAACATTTGTTGAAATGCATTCTGTGCTATAAAACACTGCATTAAAATACCAACTGCAACATAAGAACAAGAATCTGTTGAATCTTAAGAGGAGAGGAAAATAAGAGTAGGCATTTAGCTATATAGTTTACCAAATGTTTTTCATTTCATCATCACATCTGTACGCTGCTCATTTTATACTTGGTGTTTTATATTTCTTTCACAGATTGTTGTCTGAAAGCCAATTTGCTTTTCCAAACTTCTGACAAGTGAATCTACCCTGAGGAGTAGAAAAATCTTTAAAGATTTTTCTTTAATATGTGTATCTCAAGGATTAATCACTCAAGAGCTTATATTTTTACCTGTGGATATTTCTCTCTATTTCAAAATTAACTTTTTCTCAGTCATATCTACAATTGCTTAGTGGCCAGAATATGTAGTCAATAATTTGAGAGAAAGTGTGCCATGCTCTCTGTTATACAGTGATTTTCAGTATAAATGTCTGTGTACAAGGTAACATTTCTTTGGAATTCAATGAGATGAAAAAGTAACATTTTTAAAAGGTTATAAAGTAAGACTAAGTTTTGTGATAGACATGCCTAAGATTGACTTGGGCTATGTAAGGTCAAATTATTATGTTTACACTAAAATTGTCTTTGGGGGAGAGAGCAAATGTGAATGTATATTTACTTTGATTATAGGATCTAGAAATGTAGACAAGTGTGTTATTTTTCACCCACAAAGAGATTTCTTAAATATATGCCCCCTTCTGGTTTGATAAGTAGTACAAAAGGTATGTATTTGGAACTTAGAAATTGAACTGAGACCTCAAAGCTCAGCTCACTTAAGAGCTGCGCGTCCTCGAGCGACGCGGCCGCCAGAGTCAGCATCACAATTATAGATGGTGTTCTCGTGGAAAGCAGGCCGTTCGCTTTGTGCATGTGGAAAAGGAGCCAAGTGACTGTAACACGGTTTACACCAACATAATAAAGTCACACACCAATGGCAGAAATTTTGTTTTCACAGCATGAAAACGATATACGACCACCAGCTGGAAAGGAACGAAAACGCTCTATCACCAAAAATCCCAAAATTGGAGGTTTGCCTCTGATTCCCATCCAGCACGAGAGGAATGTGACCGAAGCCCGCCGAAATATCGAGGTAGGTTAGAACTTTCTTTCTTTTATCGTAATTATAGCACTTGCTTTCTAAGGCCTTACTGTGATTGAGTACATTAATTAATTCATTAGTTTCAAAAAAGTAGGAATAATCCCTTTGAAAAGCAAAAGAAAAAATTGCATCCATCAAGAAAACATTATGAATAGCTCTATGGCATGGGCACTGTGAAGTTTTGTATTTTTTTTTTAACTTAAATGATTAGTTTTAATAATGTCATTGACTATTTTTCTAAAGATTTTATTTATTTTTAGAGAGGGAAGGGAGGGAAAAAAAGAGGGAGAGAAACATCAGTGTATGAGAGAAACATCAATGGGCTGCCTCTCCTGTGCACCCTGACCAGGAACCTGGCCCGTAAACCAGGCACGTGCCCTGACCAGGAATAGAGCTGGTGACCATGTGGTTTGTGGGACAGTGCCCAGTTCATTGAACCACACCAGTCAGGGCTAAAATGTAGTGATCAGACTTTTCAAAATATTTGTCCATGCCTATCTTTCCTTGAACACTTATCTCAATAATATTTTTCTTCTCTAAAAGATAATAGCTTTGAAAATAATGGTTTATTACCTTTGTGGCCTGCTTGGTCCTTCTACACTTTAATGTAATCAAAGGGAAGAATAAGACTCCGAGAAATCATGAGCTTGTCCCTCCTGCCATTCTGTACTTACTGGTTGTCTTCTCAATAAGCTGCTCTGCAAAACTATAGATTCCTTAGCTGATCTAGAATTTTAAAATTCTTTTAAGAATTGTTTTTTTAAGATTTTATTTATTTATTTTTATAGAGAGGGGAAGGGAAGGAGAAAGAGAGGAAGAGAAACATCAATGTGTGGTTGCCCCTCCCATGCCCCCTATGGGGGCAGAGGGGACCCTGGCTCACAATCTAGGCTACCTGACTGGGAATTGAACCGGCAACCCCTTGGTTCACAGGCCAGCACTCAGTCCACTGGGCCACACCAGCCAGGGCAGAAGCTTAAAATTCTTAAGAGTCACATTTGCCTGGAACCCAGGCTAGGACACACAGGTTGAATAAATGAAGCAAACACAGGGAGTAGATATGCCCTGTTGTGATCCCAGCTTCTCCTGACATTGGCTTAGGAGCAAGTAGGGAACAAAGTAAATTATATATTGTTAGTTTCAGAAGGCGTTAACCAGTACCAAAGAAGAATTGGGATGATAACTGCCTGTATGGTTATTACCTGATCCCAAATTCAGAATTTTAGAGACCATATTTTATTTTCAGCATACTTAAGACCAGAAAGGTGATGAACTAAAACTCTGAAGAAATTGTTAAAGGCTCTTAAAACAATTCCATGAAATAATAATTAATGGAAAATTTATGAGTAAACTCAAAACCAGCATTTTTTTGTAAATATAAATGTGGTGACTCAACATACAAAGAATGTTTCAAAATATTCCAATGTTGGGGAAAAAAGTTGAAAGCTTAAAAAGCATTAAAAAAATTAGTAAAACATGAATTTTTTCTTATGAACTGTAAACCTCCTAGAAGAAAACATAGTCAGTAGACTCTGACATTGCTCTTAATAATATTATTTTGATATATCTCCTTGGGCAAGGGAAACAAAAGAAAAAATAAACAAATGGGACTATATCAAACTAAAAATTTTTTGCACAGCAAAGGAAACCAACAAAATGAAAAAACAGCCTATTGACTAGGAGAAAATATTTTCTAATGATACATTCAATAAGAGATTATTGTCCAAAATATATAAGGAACTCATACAATTTAACACCAAAAAAAAAACACCCTGATTTGATTAAAAAATGGACAAAGGACCTGAACAAGCATTTCTACAAAGAGAACATACAGATGGCCAATAGGCATATGAAAATATGCTAAACATCATTAATCATTTAGGAAGTGAAATAAAAGTTATGAGATATCTCACTGTTGTCAGAATGGTTATCGTCAATAAATCAACAAACAGGTGCTGGAGAGGCTGTGGAGAAAAGGGAAACCTCGTGCATTGTTGGTGGGAGTGAAGGTTGGTGCAGCCACTATGGAAAACAGTATGGAGGTGTCTTGAAAAAATTAAAAATAGAGCTACCTTATGACCCAGATGTGATTTCACTTCTGGGCATTTATCCAAAGAAATCTAAAACACTAATTCCAGAGATACATACGTCCCTATGTTCATTGCAGCGTTATTGACAGTAGTCAAGATATCAGAGCAACTTAAGTGTCCATTGACAGATAAAAGGATAAAGAAGATGTGGTACATATGTACAATGGAATATTCCTCAGTCATAAAAAATGAATTCTTACCATTTGGCAGTACCATTTGGTACTACACAGAGCAGACTTGGAGAGTATTTGCTAAGGGAAGTAAGTCAGAGAAAGACAAATACTTTATGATTTTACCTATATGTGGAGTCTAACAAAATAAACAAACAAAACAGAAACAAACTCATTGAGCCCTGGCTGGTGTGGCTGAGTGGACTGAGTGCCGGCCTGCAAACCAGTGGTTCAGTTCCCAGTCTCCCTTTCTTTCTCCCTCCCTTGCCCTCTCTCTAAAAATAAGTAAATAAAATCTTTAAAAAAAAAATAGAAACAAACTCATCGATTCAGAGAACAAGTTGATAATCCAGATGGGAGGAGGTGGGGAAGATGGTTGAAGAAGTGAAGGGATTAGAAGTAAATATTGCCAGTTATACAGTCATCGGGTAATTAAAGTACAGCATAGGGCATACAGTCAATAATATTGTAATAACTGTGCACGGTGCCGGATGGGTACCAGACTTCCCGGGGCAATCACTTTGTAAGGTATACAAATGTCTAATCATTATCTACACCTGAAACCATAATTGAGGGAAAAACATTTTTTAAATGAAAGTGTACCTCTAGACCATTGCAGATGTTGTGACAATGGATTTCCAGTGCCTGTAGGCCCTTGTAGTTTACTGAATGAATGTGTACCCTGATCCACTGATAAAAAAAAGGGGGGGAGGGGGGTGTACATTAGTGTTTTTAAATATATTTGTGGAATTCTAATAGATATGTGAGAGGAAAGATTTAATTAAATATTTTGAAATAAATATTAAATAAATAAATATTTTTGAGAAAAAAACAGAAAAAAGTGTAACAGATTTCTGTGATAAAACTTCCCAGCATCTTCAACATGTTAATATTAAGTGTTAATATTAACTTTAATACGCCAGTATGTGACTCTCAAGAGGGGCTGTGGTACAGAGCATTCGCCTGCCTCACATGGCCGCAGAGGCTTCCGTATTTTAGTGCTGTGGGTGCAGCTCTGAACTCGCTACAGTTGCTCGAACACGGGACGCACCCCAGCAGAAGTGACTTGGAAGAGGCAAGTTCACAATGAGAGTCAATCCAAATAACCAACCTGAAACACATCTTTGAAGTGCCATTTAAATGCATGTTAAATGAATTTCCATGGTCTGCATGTTGGTTGGTTTTGTAGCTGTCAGATCAGTATATAAATTCAGACAAGCCACTTGTATCAGAGTAAGGTTACAACCTAAATCAGAGAAATAAGCTCTAATGTAAGAAGCATCAACTTTTTAATAGAATGCATCTTTTAAATTTAAATGGTGCCCAATCTCGCTTTCCTGTGCGACATTTTATATTTTAGAGTGCAAGGGCAGAGCTGGAGAAGCTGCGGCTTCGAGAAAAGGGCAGTCAGGAGTCCGGGGACAGCACCTTGAAGGAGAGGGCCTCCATGGTGGCCCACTGCCTGGAGCACAGGGACGATAAACTCCGAAATCGAACCCGAAAGCATCGGAGTTTCAACTGTCTGGAGGACACAGAGGCGGAGGTCTGTCTTGGGCAGCAAAGGGGCCTTAAAGGCTTAAAGACGCTGGGGAAGACTGAGGACAGGAATGGCAAAGCTGCTTTGGACCCAGATAACAAGTTGCCTTCCAAGGTTATTGAAGAACTTAGTGTGGTTCTGCAACGGACAAGAACCCTTCCAAAAGAACTACAGGGTGAGCAAATCTTGCAGAAAGAGATAAAGTGAACTGCAAATTGTTTAAATGTGGAGTATGATGTTTGCAAATCAGAAACCAAACTGTATGATAATTTGTGGTTTGTGAGGTTTGTCTAGTTATATATATAAGCATTTAAAGAGCATTTTAAAATATGTATGTATATACACGATAAGTGTAAGATTAACTTTATTTTGGTTTGAACAAAGCTTGTACAGTTCAACTGTATTAACGTTATGTAAAAAAGCATTGGTTTACTCTGAGTGGCCAACTTTTCAAAGTAGTTGTCTGTTGAGTGATGTAATTTATGAGCAGAAGTATCAAACTGTACTGTATTGTATAAAATGCTGTTTAAATGAAGCCTATGAACATGTATGTAACACAGTTGCACTTTGAGAAACCTTGTATATTAAGTTATCATGTTTTTAGGTTTACATGGGGTCTACCTTAGGGAAAACAAAGAGAAGTAAGTTGAAAATGGGGGAGGATTTATTTCAGTGGCTGCCTATCTCACAATCCTGGGGTTTTAAGAAGAGACAAGACGTTAACAAATGTCTTGAAAACCAAGGAGGTCAGTAAAGATTTATTCTAGTTCACTGTTAAGAAAGTCCTTATTAATAAAATGTCTGGTGACCAAGTATTTCCTGAGCAAATATGGAGCCAACAAACACGTGTCCTGGCACTGGCCACTCGTACCTACGGGCGAGTGAACCAGCCACCGCACACACTCACTACACTTGAGGCCCTCGCAGGTGGCCGCCGAGGAGAGACTGACACGGCACCGAAGAGACTGCGCAGGGGCCGGCAGGGATGCCGTTTGCACTGAGGCTGTGCACAAGAGGTTTTTTTTTTTGAAGAGTTCCTTGCTTTTGTTTTGGTACGAACAGAGTTCATCTTCACAGGGTTTTGTTATTGTTGTGTTTTGTTATTGTTTTACATTGTGTGTCCATTTCTTGTTATTTTCAGTAAGTTTGTAATGTGTTTCTCTGTGCTGTCAGAATTAACTGGACGTATACCACCTAGGCAACATAGGGCCCTCCTGCGGCGGGAGACGGTTTGACCCTGCAGCAGCCGTCTCCTCCCTGTGCCTGATGAGCGATGACCAGGTGCTCTGTTCCACGTACAGTCAGCTACAGAGCTGGTGATTTTCCCAGGACAGACAGTACTCGTTGTAGTTCACAGTAGGGGGCAGCACTTTTCACCAATTTCTTTAGAATCGTATCAGAATTGAGTTTGAATTAAAAGTTATTTTATGTAGCTAAGCTTTATTCCTGAGATTTCTTTGTTTTTTTTTCCCCTCTATTTTTCAAATGTTGTACATACCAGAATTTGTATACAAAGACCCATTCTTTGGTCAGTCCAATTTGTTCACTATAAGATACTGATCACATATATTTGTTTGCCTTGTGTGATATGTATAGATGGGAATATTTTTTAAAGAAGAAAAAGCTGCAGGTCAGTTTATAAAATGGGTGGCACTACTGCGCAGCCTTTATGGTATTTAGAAAAAATCTGAGATAAGCTCTTATTCCTAATAAATGATAGTATTTATGTTATAAAGTAAGGAGACATATGAAAATTAATGTTGGACAATGGGAAAACTATCTGGAGTTTCTACCTGTCTTTACCTGAATATTTTTTAAACTTGAGCTTAAAATCTTATAGTCTCTGTTTCCCTCCTTTCCTGTACAATTCTCCATTTTCCAAGTGTAAGATAAGGGCTACTGATGATATCTCATATTTTGAGTAAAAATTAAAATTGTTTTACTAGTCCACCTGAATGTGACTGTCTGATATTTTCAGAGTTGAAGGTTGTTACTATGAAATAAATCAAATAGATTGTCTTTCCCTTTTTCCCTTTTTAAAAAATTGAATTTAATATATACTTATAACTAGTTATCATTTTTCTCAAGTACATCAATACAAATGTTGTTTTGTTTTCTAAATGATGAATATATGCGAACCTGACATAAACAGATCAATGGTATTCTGACTTTCATTTCTATAGCCCTGAAATTAATTACTCACATGGAACTGCCATGTAATCCAGCAATTCCACTTCTGCATATTTATCCAAAGAATATGTAAACACTAACTTGAAAAGATATATGGACCCCAGTGTTAATTACTGCATTATTTATAATAGCAGGATATAGAAACAACCTAAGTGTCCATGGATGGATGATATACATACCTACCTATATTTGAATGCTATTCAAATATAAAAAAAATAAAATAAAATCTTTCCATTTGCAACAGCATGGATGAATCTTAAGGATATTATCCTAAGTGAAATAAATCAGAGAAAGACAGATACCTTATGAAATCAGTTATATGAGGAATCCAGAAACCAACCAACCAGCCAAGCTCCTAGATACAGAGAATAGATTGGCAGTTCCCAGAAGCAAGGTTTGGGGGTCAGCAAAATGGGTGAAGGGGGTCAAAATGTACAAATTTCCTGTTATAAAATAAATAAATTATGGGATGTAGTGTACAGCATGGTGACTATACTTAATAACACTGTGTTGCATATTTGAAAGTGCTATGAGTACTTTTTAAATGTCATTGCAAGAAAATAAATTTTTGTGACTATTCATAGAGGTAGATGTTAACTAGACTTATTGTGACAATTATTTTGCAATATATACAAATATCACATCATTATGTTGTACACCTGAAACTAACAAAATATGTCACATATCAATGAAAAAAAAACAAAACAAAAAGGTAAATAAAAATAATCTTCCCCACAACCTCAACTCAGCTCAGTTCCTGGTCAGATCAGTGCTATCAGCCTCTTCTCTGCCAAAAGAAAAAAAGGTGCATCCTCTCGAGAGGAAGATACTATTATCTAGAGTTTCAACAATTTTTTTGACTGTTTGGCACTTTTTAAAAAGTATTTAAAGAGACAGGACCCTGTGAACAACAAAACCAAGGGAAAAAAATATAACATGAAAGGGATCTACAAATGAACACAATATTAGAATTACCAAACAAGGACCCAGTGACGGCTATGATTAATATCATCAAGGAAAAAAATAGGGAAAAGAGAAAACACAAGAAAAGTTGGATACTTTTGCCAAAATATTGGAGTCTAAAAAATGAAATGGGAATTCTAAAGTTGAAAAATAAATTAAAGGTAAAAATAAATGGGTCTAAAAATAATTGATATTTATCAAAGTAGATTCCTGAATTGGAATAGAGGTTAATATTATGTGCAGTAAGTATATATCTTCAACCAAACACACAGAAAAACAAATGGAAGCTACAGAAGAAAGAGAATGTTGTACACTGTGAAAAAAATCTGAAATGCCTGTGATTGGATATCCAGAAGGAGAGGGACAACGCACAGTGAGGATGATGGGTCTTTCCAAACGGCCAGGAGATGCCGACTAGGGGATACAGAACGCGATCCAAATTCTAAGCACGGTAAATACAGACGAAGAGGAATGCACATAGTAACATCAGAGGAAAGCAACAGGAAAGAAGGAACTTTTAAAATCAGGAAATACGAAAACACTAAATTTACAGTAGTAACAATACAATAATACTGGCCTCTCACCATAAAGGAGAAACAAAGGTGGTAGAGATCAGGCCAATTATAGCAGTATAATTACCTCAAATACAAAACGCCTAAAAATTTCAATTAAAAGCAAACAGCAACAATGAGTCTTTGCTACTTTTAAAGACTCATTCACTATAACGACACATGTTGAAAGCAAAAAGTTAAGGGAAAGGTATACTGTGGAGACACTTACCTAAAGACGGCTGGTTTCCCAATATGAATATAAAACAAACGATTTGAAGGCAGGAACCACTGTATCAGATAAAGAGGCATTTCTTATAAAAGGAAGATGTTAATGAATAAGATCCTTTTCTCTCTCATACAATTGTAATTCAAATTTCAATGACAAGGGAGGATCCAACTCACCCAGTAAAGAAGATGTCATCTGAACAGGTAAGAGTTCAGTGCACCCCTATTGCATGGAACTGGGACGTGGTTGAAGTCATTGCATTAAACCTGTAAGTTTTCTGCCAGCTAAACCTCTTCCTTTTGATGCTTGCTCTGACAGATAGAGCCTAGTTGGTCCAAGTCATAAGCCAGGATAAGAGATTATTGCAATGATAAAGAGTCACTGCATTGTTAACTTCTCCACTGACGGAAAACGTCTTAAACGCCATTTCTAACAGTTGTGCGAGATCTAACTAGGGACTCCACCTGTACAAATATGGAATAGTTAAGCTAGTCAACTCTCTTTTGAAGAAAAGTTTTGCCTCTTTACAACTATTGAGATCATTTGTGCATTGAAATAAACACATTGGTGGTCGATGCCCTCTCCTTCCTGGACACTGTACTAGTGTCGTTCATTGCCTTTAGAGGCTAAAGAGAAGTGATTTCCCACTCCAGACAACGAAACATCCCCATTTCAAAGATGAAAAGGACTGGCTGCAACACTGAGAGCTATCAGCCATCACCAAAATCAGGAACCTGTATCTCACTGCTGTTGAATTCCTTTTACTTTCCAAATCCCAGTAACATAAGGCAACATATTCTTGAACAGTCCATCTGGACTTGATTCTAAATGTTGGGTCCATTTCCAGGTTCCTCATAGCTCCCATAGGGGTGTGTCCTTGGCTACTGCGTTTGGAAGTGCTGACTACAGCCCAGATCAAACTCTGCAGGTGGTGGGCTCTGGCTCCAAAGCAGCGGTAGGTACCTCCACACTTTCTACAAGTAGTTACCCAGTGAAAGAACACATTCATCTATTTTATATTGAAAACCGTTTAGAAGCTGTTTGAAGTAATCAATATGCTCTAGTAAGTTTGTATTAATCCTAACATTTTTTTCATCATTTTCTGCCCCTCCACCCTATTACCTAATAATGAGCAGAAGTCTTAATCCTTTAGTAAGATACATTTTTTCCCTGGCAGATGAAGCTAACTAATCATTGCTTCCAAGAAATTTGTCTGGCTTGTGTTTTCATTGATGTATTATTCTGATGATACACCAATTCTTGTCTCTCCATGAAATAAAATGATAAAGTTACAGAAGTAACTGAAATAGAATGGCTTAGTCAGTAGTATTCCAACTGTATAGTTACCCACTTGAATAAGGAAATTAGAGATCTAACTAATATTTAAGAACAAATTAGAAATTACACATTTAACATGATGGAACAGGTTTCTAGAGATGTGGCGATTATCTGCATGATTTCACAAAACATAATGACCTATTTTTATCTCATGCAGAATGGTGTGCACACTTAGGCAAAGAATGCTGCACACACATTCCAGATAAACCAGATCTTATCTAGAATTTTATAATGGTATTATGAAATTTCCAAAATGAGTCTTCTTTATAGGATTTTAGTGAAATAACAGTCTAACAGTGACAGATGTACACACATCTATGGAGGGATTCAACCACTTCTTAAAAATATCTTAAATGTGCTCTTATACAACCGATACAATTCAAATACTTAACTACTTAAATAATTTCTGTGAGTTGACTGTTCAAATGACAAATCAACACCAGAAGTTTCTGCATATTTTAAAAGAGCTGATCTGCTAAGGAGTTAAAGTCATTAAACTTGAATAATAAATTCCTGGCAATAAACAGTTTTAATTGCTACTGCAAAACAAACTCCTGGCCTCATCTATGGCCAACAATCATTGTAAAATGCCCTGGAAGTGGCCCTCCAGGCCCTGAGGGAGTTCCCTTCCCTGCCTCTGAATGAAGGGCTTAATAAGTATTTCTTGGATGGCTGCGTGGATCTGAGCAGTCAGCAGCCTACACTTAGTAACAATTATTTCCAAATTTTGATAAATCTGTATCTGAGAGTTTGTGGTAATGGTATAACAGTTTTTGTTTGGTGTTATTTTGTATAGTCATTGATTTATTTTGCCTTTTTTGTTTGTTTTTGTTACTGGTATCTAAATGTAAAATTGGGACAGACTCCTTTTTTTTCTGTATAGACAAAATTTTACCCTGGAAGTCCAGGTCTGGTCTCCCTCAATTCTGATTAAAGTTCATTTCTTTTATTTCTTTGTTTTTACATTTACTTTTATTGTTCAAATACATTTGTCTCCATTTTCCTGCCACCACTTTCCCCTCCCTCCCTCAATCCCCCACTCTGGCTCTGTCCATGTGTCCTTTGTACATGTTCCCTGACTTGACCTTTCCCCTTTTTTTCCCCGTTACCCACCTCCCTCTTTCCCTCTCGTTACTGTTGAGGTTTTTTTTTTTTCTTTCAATGTTGCTAGTTATATTTTTCTTGCTTGTTTGTTTAAAATTCATTTTTGATTGTGGTTTCTGAGAGGCATATCGTTATAATTTCTCCACTGTTCTTCCCAAATCATGAGATTGGAATTTATGTAATTTCCTTTAGTAAGGAACACTAGAAACCTGCAAGCTTCAGAGCAAAAATTCTGTTACTTTCTCTATGTAACAATTATAGTAAAAGAAAAAAAAAATCCTGACACTGTATTAATGTTGCTGTTTTCTGTTTTTACAATAAAAAGCAGTAACATTATCAAATGTCAATGGTTTATATTCATAAAATATTTTCTGGGCTACTCCTCTCTGTTATAGACAAAGAGAATTGGGAGATACAAAAAAGTTAGTGCTGTGATGTTCCTGAGGATTAAAACCCAACGATTTTAGTAAGTCAAAACCTACACATTTCAATAGCTATAATGATGATGCATTTTAGTGGTTAAAGTAATAAATTGAGCATTTACAATGTACAAGGCATTAGTAAAACATGTAACTTGAAGGGATATTTCAAG